GGCTGTCCACTTATTGTCCGTTTTCTTACACGGTGCTACTGCTATCCGTTTTCTTACACGGTTCGTGGAGCCAAGCCTATTGCTGTACTTTAAATACACCCGGAGGAGTGAACCAACGGATCTGTCAGAAGGCCGGACGCCTGCGACAGGAGAACACTGCTGATTTTATAAATGAAATCTAAATATGAATTTCTGAATTACGGAAGATACTGAAGAAATAAAACTCTGCCGATGACGGGACTCAAACCTGTGCCAGCTGCGTCTGTAGCCGAACGTCTTATCACTGCACTACTCGGGCTTGCATCTTTAGCATGCAAATATTTTGACGATGAAGCGTACTCGCCTTTCACTGTGCAGATTTCTAATTCTCGAAATCGGTAAAGAAATAATGATGTTAAGACGAGCGTTAAGGGTGCCCAAAATTGTGGAATTTTTTCTGACTGTCGTCACCGGTCGTGTACGGTAGGTACGCTTCAGCGACTATGACCTTTCTACACCGATAACCGACACCGGTACAGCAACTTGCTTATATATCAATCTATTACAATGGAACGCAGGTAGAAAGGTGCATTATCTGGATGCTCTGAAATCCCTGTCTGGAATCCTGAAGAATCCGCTGGGGTAGGTAATAGGTATATCCGATTGACCAAGAAGAGAAAAATCCGAAATGCGTTGACGTGTCTCCAATGGTTGCAAAGCAGTAACACAACACCAGCGCCAGATGGAAGCAGAGGCGATCCAACAAGTTATGTAATGAGACCACTGCTCCAGTTAGAACTGACCTTTGGTCACGACTCACGAGTAACACTACGCAGATATCAGGTGTTCGCTTTACTGTTGTCTGAGAATCACACTGTAGTCGAGAGTAGCAACGGAAGGAAAATCTGTGAAAAGCGCAAACATCTCGAGTGTTATTGTCTGATTAAATTCGGTTCGCCGCGGTATCTTTGTTCGTGTGTGGACACTGGGCAGGTGCGAGTAAGTGGAAACGACTGCGGCGTTGCGGTTTCTGAGAGAGAACAGGTCGGCAGAATTGGGCATGCGCAAAATCGGAGTCGGTGCAGGCGACCCCGGTAACGAGTTTCCGATATCCAATTTCTGCCCGACTGCCCCAAACAAACTGTTACCCGTTGGAGTAGGGATTCAGCGTGGTAGATGGCGGTGTCCGCATGTAGCACGTGTAACAGTTGCTCTTCCATCGCCCTGCGCGTTGGATCACACGGTCTGGCACGTTGTTAACCGCGGCGGTAATTGCCGCACCGATGCGGCAGCTGTGGGTGTTGATGCGGAGCTGGTCCGGATGTCTCTCCAGGAGACGATGGAGGCAGGCTTCCACGGAACGCCTAGTGAAGTATCTGCCGTCCTGATGGATCAGGAGCGCCGTGCTTTAACTGTCGAACTGAACTGAGCATGAGCCAGGTGCTTCCGGTAGGCCTGCACGGGACACACGGAATGACCGGTCGCCGTCAACGCTACGGAATGGCCCTGACCTGTTGGATCGGTCTTCTTGACCTTTAATCGGATGGCGATATAACTACCGTGATATTGCACGTCCTCTAGCACAAGAGTTCGCCGAGGATCGCAGTGGCTCGTGCCGGGGGATACTGCTTCTCCTACCCGAAAGGAACCAAAGTACATAAGGGCAAACGTTGCCCAGCACAATGCTTGCTCATGATGGGACAACTGACTGGAACGGATGACGTCTTTCAGGTATCGCATCATCTCCAGCGTGATTGGCTGTCGCTTGTCTGCGCTGGGTGGTGCCAGTCGCCTGTAGCCTAGCAAGGCGCGAATCACAATGTCGTGGCCGGTTGAAGATGTCATGCCAGCTTCACGGTGGTAATTGTCAATGCCGGCAAGATAAACGGTTACCGTCCGGAGGGATTTTCTTGTGGAATACAGGTGTGCGACGTATTCCGCGGTGATGTCCGGCGTCGCTGGAAATGGCTGAGCGGATCTGGAGCTGCAAAATGCTGAGAACTGTTTGACGGCCGTTACGTAGGTCTGCCTGGTAGAGCTGGCAATGTGAGCGTGCAGCAAGTTGCTTAGGCTGCGTGTGTGCTGTACGCTCTTTTCCGGTCGCGGCGACGTTTCGCGTTCGGCGTGCATTGCGTTCTGGATGCATTCAGTGTACGTATCTTGATGTTGATGAGTCCACTGGTCAAAGTCGTACGGATGGCCAGTCCTGTGCGCGCGGAACTGCCGATCGTACTCGAGCCAGTTGGCGGTCGGAACCCCACGCTCGACGTACGACGCGATTATGTCCATGTATTTGTAGAATCGAGTGCTTAGTTCCGGTGCGGTGTGAGAGCGGTAACTGGCGAACACGCCGAAGCCGCGCATCCATGATGTGGAACAGGTAATTCGAACTTTCCCGTTTGCGGCTTAATGGTGACCTTTCCGTTGTCGAAACCATTTTGGAGTCCAGCCTCTTTGGTTTTTCGACGCGGTTCTTCAGCAAGAGTAAGTCCAGATCAATGTATTCGGTGTGGTCGAGCAGCTTTTTTACGAGCTTCTTATCCAGCGACGGAAAATGGTGCGGGAGGGGAGGAATGGTTGTGTTACCGGCAGCAGTTCCCCGCAGGGGGCCTAGTCGGCTGAAGACGTCTGGGCGTCTCCCAGTGCGCTCGCGGGCCGGCAAGCGTACTGGCATTGTGTCCGATAATTCACTGCTTGCAGATGACTGCGAGCTGCCATGTTTACCTTTATCTTCACTGCGTTTACGCTTGCGGGTGGTGGAGTGTCTGTTGTGATCCGTCTAGTGCACGGTTCTACCGAAGTAGTCACCGATCTGGATATGTAGGTTGAAGGAAGGAGACAGCGGCAGGGGTGCTGATGGATCTGGGACTTTTTCCGGTGCTGGTGATGCTGGCTGTGGCGGTGGTGGGGGCGGTGGTGCCAGACGCTCCATTGTTGCAAAAATTTTGTCCAACTGTTCCTGATGTTTTTTTTGCTGCTGCGCGAGAGATTGCACCGTCGGTTCCTGGGCTTCCGAGTCGCGGTGGTACCGTGGTGGGTAGCTTACTGGCGGTGGTGGTCCGTTTCACCCTTTTGGATGTCGTGGGTGCGCTTTTCGCTGGCTGCCGTCCTCGGTTACCACGTCCAGTCATTTTCGGGATGGAAGAAAGTAAGCGTTAAGTTCGCTCGAGATAATCGGATGTGGCTTAGGGGGATTGGAAGTTTTTTCGCTAAAGGTCACTGAGTACTTGATTGATATGCCATAGCCTTAGGTGCGTGTGCAAAACATTGAGCGATTAGGCAGTGAAAACTTTCAACTGAATGTACCATCGTTTCAGTTCATTTGATGAAACCGGCAACTGATAAGCAGCCAGCAAGATGCGCAAGCAGGTCAAGACAAGGACGTAAAGCACAATGCTCAGTCTGATAGAGAGAGAGACGATACCTAGTACCTAATTTAACATGGATTAGCATGCTGATCGTCCTATTATTCCGCGATAAGACTTCGGGATGCGCGCAGGCATCGATCATACGTAAAACCAATAAAGATTTACAAGCTGGTCATCGACTACAACAGTCGAGACATTTTACAACATTGGTCAAATGTACAGTAATACAACATCAACCGAAAGTCAATAAGCCAGACCAGTGCAAGAATAAAATGTATGTACATGTAGTAAAGAAAAAAACAGAAATATAGAAAAAAGCCACTTAAGTATCTGTACAAGATACGTACAAGTCGTATGTGCTATTCTCGCCGGTACGCGTCAGGATGCCGGAGAGCAGTGCATGCAACAACGATGACTGCAGACGGAAAAGATAGACTAAAGCCACTGCTTATTAAAAAGTGCAAGTGCTTCCGCTGGACGTCACGGGATCTAGCTATGTTTGTTGGGAATCGAAGGTAGGAGAACCGTCTTGCCCTGTAGTAATGCCAGAATCATAGGTAGTCTCTTGCACGTCGAAAGTGCAAGTTGGTGTCCCTCCGAGGACCGGCGTGACGGCGACAACACACATGGCGTTGACAACGGTCTGCGTGATGCTGGTGGACAGCGTCAGGCAGGGCGCGGTGCAGACCGCGCGGGAGCAGGTCGTCAGTGTCTCAGTCACCCTCCACCAATGAGTACGGACGTGGTACATAGATGGCTCTGCGGTTGCCGGCGTGGGCTGAATACACTGGCTGCAGCCGTTGTTCTTCGGAGTGTACTTGACGTGTTGTCCGCGCCATCGCGCTGGTCCGTCACCGGAATCGGAAGCGGCGGGGCTCTCGGCACCGGTTGCCGGATTTTTAAAATGGGACCTTTGACGGTTGATGGGTAGCGTAGTAGGTGTGGCTCAGCGCCAGCCCGGGCTGAATGCGATACTCATCCACGTAGGGCGTCCTGCTGCCGGGGCATGACACTGGCCTGGAAGATCTGCAATGCCGCCCAGTTTTAATTACTGGCTTGTTGAAGGAAACAGCAGAAGCTTGTACAAAAATACTCTTATTTGAAAATAAGCACAGATATGTATTGTACGTACTTCGACGTGTTTCCTTTTTTGCACCACAGATAGTGTACCCGGTGTTCCACTTCTCACGAGCTGTATGTGATAGTTAGTGTCGTTAACAAGTAATCAGTATCCATTATCCATGCAGCACTGGCCAACTAGCGCACTTACAGCGTTCGATTCTTCATTTTTTTATGTGAAGGATACGACTGCAGCATTGGTCTGCCATGTCTTTCGATGGCGTATTTCGGAGGACGTTAAAGAATAATACACAACTCAGCGGCAGGATGACAAAAGATGCGATGTGCAACAAAACGATTATGCACCGATCGTCTTAGAATGTGGCATATGGACGTAAGGCTAAAGGGTAAGAAGCAGAACCGACTACATAAGCGATCTACTTCGATAAGCGGACCGGTTGCCGGCGTTCAGCCTAAGAATTCTATTAAGGTCACCCGCGCCGGCGCCGTTGTACGTCCACGCGCAAAGCACGGAGAAAACCCCTATTTGTTGATTTGCAGAGCCGACGGCAGATCGTAGCTGTAATACTTTTTTATCCAGTTTACAAGAAATACATTTCAAAATTTTCTCTAAATCACCAGAAACGGGAACGACAGCGAGCAACACAGTAACACCGACACACACAGGCGTGCACGTAACAGCAACAATTTTGTTATTAATAAGCTTGTTAATTTTAGTATTAGATTTCTGACCCGTGGACCTCTTACCACTTTTCCAGTTCAACGGTAATGTGAGGACAAGAAACGTATGAAGAACACACAAAATGGTAGCCGGTTCATACCGGCAGCTGCCGGAGCAGCTAAGACGCCAAATCTGAGCGCACATGAAATTCAAGATACGGGATACTTTCCCCGTTTCCGTAACCACCGACTGCGTTTTACTTCTTTCTTGCCACTAAAAGATCACCCCCGGCCGAAGCCGAAACCACCACCAAAATTGTGCCCAAATGTCTGGCTGCCGCTGAAACTGGTTGGCGACTGGAACGAGTCCTGCCCGGTCCGGAAATCCGAGTGCCGGTTGAAGGATGTGCCACCCGGCGACTGCCACCCATCCTGGCCGCGCTGGGCGGTACTGGTTCCAAACGAACTGAACCCATCCTGGCCGTGCTGGACGGTATTAGTTCCAAACGAACGGAAGCCGGTGGGAGACCCGCTCCATAGGAACGACGAAGGGCGTGTGCGGACGGTATCCGGTGACGGATCCGGGGCGGGGAGGTTGTTGGGTGGCAGTGGCGGACGTGTCCGCTGGTTGGGACCCGGTGTCGGCGGTGGCGGAGGGGTGAAATTGTCTTTAGGCCGGTTGTCCGGGTATGGGCGGACGGTGTGCGGGGCGAGCGTTTGCGTATGAAAGGGGTCGACATCGGGATTAGCCTGCGGCCACCGCCACGACCCTGTAACACCACACCAGATCAGCCAAATGTCCCGATAGTGCAATCGAGGCGAACCTACCCTGCCGGGGGGGATGGGGAACGTCGCGGCAGAACGGGCACAACGGGGGTTGGCATCCCGGAACTACAATCGAGCTTACTGGTTAATTATTATTCAGAGAATGGTCGCCAGGGGTTTCGCGCTTACGGATAGGCCCGACTTCCCCGGTGCACCCGCCCACACAGACGTACGCGGGGCACCCCGCTGGCGGTCGACGCTCCTCGGCCGGCGCGGACGTTGTCTGGTCGGATTGCTGCAGGGAGCAGGTAGGGCACACCGGCGGGCATCCGTTCGCCTGCTGCGCTGCAACGCAGAACAACATCCGGCATGTACGTCGCGTAGCCAATCACGGGTACAGTAATTAACGTGCTGTCATAGTCAGTTTACTTTGTTAGTGTGCACTGTACCGTCGCTGAAAAAGGTCACCGATCGCGAACTTACGGTTCGGTTGGTCATCCGGAACGCAGGGCGGTTGCCGCTCGCATTCCGTGACCGGACAGGCGTGGCCGTCGAATTGGCGGAAGCGGCCGAATTGGGTGCCGAATAGGTGGGTTCCCGGCATGCAGCTCAAGAGGCCAACAAAGGTCACCACCGCCGTAATATCCACGCGCCACGGACAACGCATCGTTAACTGCCGCGCGACACTGTGTGTAAGGCGGAACTGATGATTTTTCTGACAAGCGGTTAGTAATCTGAACGGACCGGATGCGTAAAATTGTGTACGCAAAATCGTAGAGCCACTCGTTCACCCGATTATGAATTCGCAGGTAACTGCACGCATTTTGCTGTTTCCGATGTCGATAACGCCGCGTACTATTAAAATTATACTGTAGGTATTACTGTATATACGTACAGTTTTATAGGGATATATCGTATGTATTAAGTTTACAAAGTCGTCATTTGATTTGGCCTGCAGGCTGAGAGGGAGGGACATCCGCTTGCGCCATGGCAGTATAAAACACCATCTTTTAAGAGAACAAAGAGGCCGTACAAAGCAAATCGCAAATAATACGCCTGTGGTTCGCAGTTTTTTTGGGCATTGTATCTTATTTGTGTGAAATTATGCTCGCACAAGTGGTAGTCTTCTGCAGCTTGCAAATCATGATTTTACGCCGGCTGCGTCCTTATTATAATCCACTGTCGCTTCTGGCTGTTTTATTACAACAGTAAAAACATTAAAAAACTAACGCATATGCATCCTTGTGTCACTTTTTTCTATTGAATGGATAACTGTACATGTACGTCAATGGCACATACAGAGTACGAAGACAAAGAATAACGAATAAAAAACACACAAACCGGAAACCGACTGACATCGGCACGTGCCAGTAGCGACTCAGTACGGCAAAAATCTGTGACCCTAAAACCCTAAAATTCTTGATGCCAGTTCTGTACCTGCCTGTAAGTTCGTACTCAAGTCTGTGGGTCTCTCTTAACTCCTTACATTGCATTTAAAAATGTTTTGTTCGACCTGACTTGAAGTCCCTTTGGGGTCGTCTGCTCTTGTGCCGTAATAATAATAATAATAAAAAGTCTAACTAAAGCGCTAACGGCAGTCATCTTACTTGCGGAACACACTTACGTATTCAAATTTCCATTTATGGCAAGATTTGTACTGCAGAAATGCTCGACAAAGCCTGAATCGCTACAGCCAACGGTATCCAGCTCATTCTTGAGCACACGCACTGAGTGAGATGCAGCGTCGGTCTGATTACTGTTGTCGCTGGTTATCCCCAGGAAACAGCCAGCCGATCTTTTCCAATTACAACCATTTTCATGGACATTTTTTACCCTTTAAAGCAGAAACACTTCCTCTACGCTGTCCTGATCGGAATACGTAGTGTCCTTTAAAAAATTAAGGTTGCCTTGTAAATCTAGCTATTGATACTACAAAGTACATAATTTACTGTAAAAACCATGGCCTATCTGTACGGTAAAAATTTTATACACCAAAGGTTACACGCGACAGGACGCTGAGGTTAACAGGTAGTGCATCCAGTCGAGGAGATGGTGCGCGAAGGGTCCCTTGTGACACTGTTGGCTTCATATATTACTGCTCGCAACATCATCTACTGTACGTTAAAAAGTAATGAAACAACTACGTAAAAAAGAAATTTTTTTTTGTACATATGTACTGTCTTAACACAACCGTTTTTCTCCTGCTGCGTAAGCGATTATCTGTAATTTGTTTCCATCGCGCGAGTTAATTGAACTCTCGGCTCTCCAAGCATACCTCATATACATTGTAAAGGTCACACGTACCGGCCGCTTGGGCGACTAGTTTTCAGGCGATTTTTATTTGTGCAGCAGTGCGGACAAGCAAGTTTTTCCAGCTGACTAGCGGCTAATACTGCCAAAGAAATGATCCATCAGCATTTTATGTAACATGAACGAAAACCAGCAGTGATGCGGTGATGTCGATAATTTAGAGGATAAATTGTATATAAATATAAAAACCGATCGTGCACGGAATATAAGCGTACACCGAATGAAGAGCGGCTGGTGAACTGGGAGACCCGCCTGGCCCTGCCGGCGTAGCGCATATGGAAACGGTGAAGAGCGGGCGTTATTACGTCACAGCCTCGTGTAGCCGCATATACAGATACAGCAACTATCCCGATCGATGCCGCCGTCACGGTCGTGTTGAGCAATCATTCAGGGTCACTGCAGCGCATCCACTGTACAGTTAGCCGCACACCGGCCGCGGGCAACACGTCGGCAAGAGGGGTGATAAGCCAACTGCAAAATATACGTACAATAATTATAAGAAAATATCATATTATATTGATCGGCCGCTGTCAAAATTCGATTTCACTACCCAAGAAAAAGCTTCTGGTAAAAAAAGATTCCGCTAAAAAATAAAATTAAAAATAAAAAAAATTATGTGTAGAAAACGATTTTGTTTTTCCGGTAAAGTTATATATGTTGAGTTGCGCTGCTTCCTTGCACATGTTTAATTTATTCACACTAATTCGGCTATGGCGTGTTGTTGTAATGCAATTAAGTATAGAAAAGGAGAAATTTCCAGGAATTTAAATGTAGCAAATAAATGTATAAATACTTAAATCGACTTCCTGGAAATAATATTATAATTATATACTCTTGTCAGTTACGTACCGGCGTTGTTAAGAATAAGCTGAGGAGGCAAGGCGGAGGCGCACGGCTGCACCATCGCCGGGCACATGCAGGCGCCGGTGCCGGCGCGCGGGTCTCCCGCCCCGGTCGGGCACAGCGGACACCCCGGACAGCCGTTGGCAGCGGCCGCTATACAGTGCAGAAATAGAATTTAATTACGTCTTCACATTAATTAATAACCATACGCATTATACCACAATCTTAGACATTTTTATTTAAACATTTCATTTATATTAAATTTGTATTTATATTATTCATGTTAAATATATATTAATTATTTCTAATATATATTCCAGTAATATTATTTCATTTAAATTCTAATTAGGGAATATAGAAACAGAGTGAAAGTTCGTATTTAAGAGGATAAAAACATAAGAATTTTTCTGCGATTAAGAAATGATCGCCTGAAAATGATAGCTTACGATTGGGTTCGCCGGGATTGATACAGCGGATGCAGGCCACTTGCGGGCACTGGCCGCGGCACAACACGCTCAGGCTGCTCAGCACACTGAACAGCAGGATAAATTTCACCACACGGGAATCATCCAACGCAGCCATTACGAATATAAATTATATATAAATATATATAACGAAGAAACGGTTCTGATAGATTTGGTACACTATAGAAACTAGAAAATCTGGCTGTCTAAAAGTACAAGTACCGAGTAATGATTGAATGGGACGCGAGAGTATATGGAGAAAAAATAATCCCCTGAAACACTGCGTAATGAACACGGAGAATGTGCGTCGGTGTGAAACAATCAGTGGAAACGACGAGGAAAAAGGAGGCAGAAACAATATTATGCTAGCCAATGTTCCGCTAATTGCCTGCGCGGTAATCGCCGTTATTACTTTTTTTATTAGCCACGTCGTGCACGTGCATCCCCCAACGAGTCATCGGTATAAAATTATTACAGTTATAACGCCGCATGAGTTAATACTCAGCGAAAAAGTATTCTTCCACCTCCAACGTCGGACCGATGCGCGGCATGCCGTGCGTTGCCGCGGGACACGGCAAACTTGAAAAGCAGCTCACCATGTGGCTAATTAAGGACATACGGTGCATTTTACTACCGTTTACTCAGCGCTAATTCACTGCCGATGGAATAATTAAGCACAGCGACCGGTTCCCGGTGATTTAATGGTGATTTTATTCTGTTTATTAATATTTTGTTCGCAACTTCGCAGTTTGTACAAATGCCGGTGAATATATAAGGAATAAGTGTAAAGGTCACACTGTAATATATAAAGAATAAATGCAAAGGTCACGCTGGTGTTTAGTGGACGCCGGCGTGCTCCGCAGTCTCCTGCTGGAAGTATGTGCGTATGGTCTGGTAGTTCTGCGCATACCAGCCGATGTTGGCCTCCGTCTGGGCCAGTAAGCGCCGGAAGGTGGGTACCTCGTCCGACGAACTGGGTCCGACCAGGCTCCATAAGTTCCGCAACTGCAAAAGAAATTTGAAATCGTAGTGTCGTTTATAGTGAACTGTTTGCTTTAGCTTACCTGGAAGTGGCGGGCCGGTGTCCGGAAGTAGCTGGCCACGTTGCTGAGGATGCCGGTTTTACTGCAATTAAGCATACAGAGGTCACGGTGGTGTCGTTGGCGCGATGCAATATTGCATTATTTGCATATAAATATCACCGAGGTCACGAAAATCACACCTTACTTTGTCTCTCTCGATATGGTTTTTATACGTGCATGTTTGAAATGTATGTATCACAAAGGTCACGGTAGTTTCGATATATACATATGTCCACTGGGATCTATGTATCCACGTATATAATGTAAACAGTACATAGATCCCATTGGACATATGTATATAACGAAATCACCGTGAGCTTTGCGATATATGTATGTGCATGTTCATCAGTGCATAGATATATATGCACCTATTTATGTACATGTACATATATATATGTGCGCCTAAATAAGTGCATATATATAGATATACGCACCACGTATATATCCACGCATTATGACGATTCACATATGTCATTTACGTATTTATTAGAGGTCACGATCGGCCGATGTAAGTAGCATGAATTTCTGCGTTATACAAATGCCGGCGTTTGTCTACCTGCCGCGCAGCTGCATCCAGTTGTTCTGGACAAACTCCCAGGCCACGGACTCCCCGATGGGCGAGGACTCGGCCACCCAGGCGAAGACGGAGCTGACGTCGGCGTGGGCGATGATGCTGCCTTGTCCGAGGGTCAGATCCAACAACCTGGCGATGCATCGCTTAAGTCAGCTATACTGCATCAACATGGCATAGTGTGACGTATATACTGTACCGGATGAGGAGGTCCGCTTGCAGGGAACAGGCCAGCGCCCGCAGCACCGCCAGCCGCGTGACCATGGGCAGACGGGTGTTCTTATACAGTTCCAGCATCTTATCCCAGGCTTCGGCGTTGCTCTGACGTAATCCATAGCACATAAGGGGATTCTTGGTGTTGACGATGCTTTCGCCGCTCCTAAATATAATGTACAATATATGGATAGTGTTTAAATCCGCAACGGCAACGACATTGGTGATTCTCGGCATCGCAGTACTATCGTACAGCTTAAAGCAAAGTGAAGCAATTAATGTGAGCGTCTTACGGAAGCTGGGAGAAGCTTTCCACCGTGCCGTTGCCCAACCACGCCTCAAATTTGGTGTAGGCGTCATCCAGACACTGCTTAAGATCGTAGCGGCAGGCGTTGTCCAGGATGAGCCGGCGGCGCATCACCTCGTTGTAGTCCTCGCTGGTCTCGTCCACCCAGGCGTCGGTCCAGTCCGCAGCGTTGTACAGCGGCTCTGTGCCGGACAGGAGGAGGCTCTGCACATACTCCTTCATGTCGCCATAAAAGCTGGTCAGACGCAGCATGCGCTGCAGGAAATTCAGCCCGGCGAACGCCGACGCCAGCGGGCTGTAGCGCCTCTCGTTGGCCACCCAACGGGTGGAGTGCAGCGCCACGCCGTAATCCACGCCAAACTGTCCTGATCTGTGTTAATTAACGCCTCGGTCAAAAAAGTTAGAAAGGTCATCTTCTAATTATTAATTACACATGTATTTCGTACCGAGCTAGATTGAAGGCGTCGTCAATAATCTGGCCGCGGTTGGTCTCCTCGATCAACTGTAAACATTTAAAATTATTTTTTAAAAATTGAATTTTAAATTAAATTAAAATATTAAAATAAATTAAATTAAATTAAATTAAATTAAAATTTTCTTTCTAGGCAAATCATACCAAATGGTTTGTCTCCAGTTGTTGGAAAATTCGATGCCACGTGTCCCAATCGTAATTGACCCGGTAAAAGCCATGCTGGTGCACGTTAGCCAGCAGCCAGTCCGTGTTGGCCACCGCGCCCCCCGCGGGTGGTAGCTCTAGCGCCTGGGCGCCGGTACAGGCATTGGCCAAATTTCCTGTCCAATATCAAAATTACGAAAGGTCACCGACCCAAAGCCCTCTCTGACGTTACCTTCACGCTGCGTAATCCAGCAGACCTTGGCCATTCCCTCTTGTGCCGTCTTTCCCGGCCGTTGGGTGGTCAGCGGGATGTGCCATAAATGATCCAGTTCCGGCGCGATGCTGGTGTCGTTCAGGATGTTGACCAGATTGCTCACCGTGTCGCTCTCGTTGAAGATGTGGCGTTTGAAGAGAAAGCGCTGCTGCCGGTAGGTCACCGCTCCCGTCTCTTTGTTGACGCTCAGCTGCAGCACCGGGTAGCCGCTCTTGTAGATCCAGGAATCCAGCCGCGTGGCGAAGTCGATGCCCTCGGCTTGCATCTCGGCGGTGAACTGGCGCAAAAGGTCATCGGGCACGACGTTGCCGAGTTTGTGGTTGGCCAAGTAGCGGGTCAATGCGGCGTAGAAACGCTGCCGGCCCATTAAGCCCATGACCATGTTGAGGATGGAGGCGCCCTTGGAGTAGGTGATGGTGTCGAACATGTTGCTGATCTGCGACAGGGTGTTGGTGTCGTTGTTGGACAGGGGGTGGGCGGTCTCCAGAGAGTCCGATTCGAAGGCCACGCGGGTCACCCAGAATGGGAAGAGGGGCTCCTAAAGGTCAAAAAGATGTCAAGACAAGTAAAGGTCACAATGGGACGGTGTTCGTAAGGCCAACAGTGTCGGACATGTAAAGGTCACGTTAGAAGGAAAGGTCACAAGGTTTTTTGGGCATGTAAAGGTCACTTTGGGACGGTGTCCCTAAGGTCATAGGAGGGTGGGACATGTAAAGGTCACAACGGGAGGGGATCAGAAAGGTCACAGGGGTGTCGGACATATAAAGGTCACGATGGAAGGGTGTCCCACTTACCAGGTCCCATTCGGGTTTGGCGTCGTACATCAGTTCGTGCTGGAAGAAGCGCGCGAAGCCCTCGTTGAGCCAGGTGTCGGACCACCAGTCGCAGGTCACCAGGTTGCCGAACATCATGTGCGCCAGCTCGTGGCCGACGATGGCGGAGATGCTGCGCTTCTCGTCAGCGCTGTTTACTTGCGGTCGGTAGAGAAGACGCGATTCGCGGTAATGCACCAGGCCGTAGTTTTCCATGGCGCCGGCGTCGAAGTCAGGAATTGCTGTGTTGTCTACGCATATGTATATAGTTACATAATCATATTTGGTAAAAATACTAAAACACTATAACAAATACCTGCAAAGTTATTAACGTATTGCCTACTCTATTAATTTTTCAAATTTATATTATCATATATGTTTTTTAATTAAAATTCCTTATAAATTTTTTATTCAAGACATTAGTTTTAAATTCATAAAGCTGCATTATACTTTACAGATTGTATTTAAATTACTAAATTAATTTCACAAAGTTTTAATTAAACATATAAATTTTAATACATGTAAAATCAATAAAGCTCATAATTATTATATTTTAATAATTTCTTATTATATGTTATCTATTTAATAAATATTTAGTAGCTGTCGGCTGACCTAATTTGGGCAGAAGACTGAAGTATGGCTGGCTGAAGTTATGGCTCAAATTCTCGATCATGATCTTGGCCTGCTGCAGCCCGAAATCGCCCTGTTTTCCCATGGCCTCGCCCAGGAGGGCCTCCTGCGCGATAACCGTCACCGTCCCGCTGTGCTCCCCGGTGGTGGCAGTCGCCGACACCATCCCGAAGTCACTGATCAGGAACGCCATCAGGTACACCGGCATCCGGGGCGTCTCCGTAAAGGTCATGGTCTCCCAGGTGCGGTCGCCCTCCTTGACCTCCCCCACGACGGTGCCCTGGCCGTTGCTGCGCGTCATGGTGAACCGCTTATCATACTGCAGCGTCGTCTTGATCACCGACCGGAAACCGGGCTCGTCGAAGCACGGGAACATCCGGCGCGCCTTGTACGGCTGGAACTGGCTGGCCGCCAACCACCGCCGGGTGCCGTCCGCCGTCCGGTACGAACTGCGGTACAGTCCCTGGTTGTCCTCGGTGGCGACGTTGCCGGTGAAGGCGATGGTCAGGAGGTACGTCGCGTTGACCTCCAACGCGCCGGCGACGATCACCCGCGCCAGTTCCGCGTTGCTCTCGAAACGCAGCCCGGCGAAGGTGACGTTGGTCAGCGTCCCGTTGGTCTCCCGTTTCTCCAGCTGGACGTCCGGTTCGGTGAAGTTGATGCGCCCGCTGAAGCGATCGCGGCTGGCGTGGAAGACGATCTCGTTGACGGCCTCCCGGGCGGTCAGCGTCATGACCACCCGCCCCCGGGTGGTGAAGGAGCTGCCGTTGACGATGTCGGCGTCGCTGAAGGGGATGTCGACCGTCAGGTGCAGTTCGTAGCGCTCGGGGAGGACGGAGCGCGGCAGGCGGTAGGTGGGCGGGAGGGGCGGGAGGCCGGTGGTCGGGGCCTCGGTGGGGGCTACCGGTGGGCGGGTGGCGGTCAGGTTGGCGATGAGTTTGTCCTTCTCGGCGATGTCGGTCTCCGCTTGGGAGTAGAGGACGGCCAGGGCGATCATGGCGGCCAGCGAGCCGATCAGCACGACGGCCAGGATCAGCATCGGGAGTTTGAGGCCTTCCGGCGCTGGGTGATGGTCACCTCCTCGCGCATGGTTTCACGCGGCGGCATTTTTATTCCCTGCTTTTATTAAAAATATACGAATATTTATAAACGCATATGTACGCATTTGTATATAAAATACGTACAGAGTATATGCCGCATATACAGATACAATATAAACTATAACTATATAAATATAATCGCCGGATGTTCCGGACTGTTATAAAAATGTAAGTATGTAAAAATATATGTACATTTACATTTTTACATATGTAAATTTACATGAATCTTTAACAAATACGTATTTTTTAAACAAATACGTGTATAAGCAAAAATAACTCATTTTATGCGCGTATGTACGCGTAAAAGCTTATAATAATTACAAAAACTGGAATTCCGCGGTTATATAAATTTATACGCTTTATGCGCATATAAATTATGCGCAAAAAGCGTATAAATTTATCTATAGTCAATACACCCACGGTGGGTGACCCACCCAAATTTCCCAGTTAAAAAATAATATATTTATAAAAATATGTATGTAAAGGAAAAAATGAAAAAAAACAAATTATCGACAAAAACCTACGTGCATGTAATTGTATAAGAAATAACTATGTTATATGAAATATAAATAATTAGCAAAATATTAATAATATTATATAGTTATAAACATATAAATGTAAGCGTACATACCGTATATGAAATATATTAAATCACCGGTATAAATTGGCTAATATCCGGGAAAACTGCTGACCACGACGTGCGCGCGAAGGAAATGAGCGCAGCTGCGGCGGAAGCGCTGCTGTCGTCGCTGGGGCATTGTGTGGGGTATCGCGCGATAGTGGCGCTGATAGGCCGGTTGATTTATGTCGCGCGTCGTCCATTGTTCCGCCGTGCAACAGTAGCGGTGCCGACGTGTGTGCACGCGGCTGCACGGGAGATAACCGGTGACGCTTATCGCTCCATCCACTGCATTGTTCCACGCAATGTGCTTGACCTTTGCCAACATGTGTCTACCTGTGTGCATAAACATTCCTGCAGTTTTGTGCGACTTATCAGTTTTTCCTGCGTGAATAATAATCGTTAAAAATTAATTATCGCCAGTAAGAGTTTATGAAGTATACCGGTTTCCCGGTGTGCAGTGTGTGAATTCTAGCCGCATCGTTACAGTTGAGCTATTCTGGTGTCTTGCATACGGCGTGATTAAAATGCAGTACTTTGTACTTTATTTAGGTACAGTAATTGAAAAATATTGTATTTTGCACGTGTACTGTCCGGTATCTACTTTATATAATTACTCACTTGTTACTTGCCATAAAATTGTCGGTAAAATTGGGACGAGTACATATTATTTTATTTGCTCAGTGCAATTTCGCGTTTACACGCACGCACCCGTACTTAATTAACTATAACAATGTGTGTTTATTGGGCAATAGCCGCCATAACAACAAAAGTGCAAGCGCGGGCACACTACTTTACAGTTAAAATTTAAAGTTGTAATAATATAATTATCGACAAAACAACTATAATAATAGTTGTTTTGTCGATAATTATCAACGGGATACAATCTGTATGCTAGCCGGTAAGGTTGAACACGAAATTATAAAACCATATTACATTTGAGGGCAAAAAATTAATAAGAAAAGAAGAAAAAGTGGACCGTAATTGGGTTATTCGCATTAACATAGGTTAACAGCAGAATCACGCAGTTCATCATTTCAACACATAATACACTTCGTCCAGTCTCTTACCGATACAAAACGTTTTCTGAACCAATGCCGCTCTACAGTTAAAGCAACACTGAAGTATCATAATATAGTGATTTATGCACAAAATAAATTGAATTTTTTTTCTAGTTTAATTCTTAATGTTTTTGATTTTAACTGAGTAAAAAATCCAAGCAGTTCACATTTTGGTAAATTAATGAGTCTATAATGAAACGTGTGCTGTCAGGTGAAACTTAAATTTTTCCATTGACTGGAGAAAAACAACGACTGAATGCTGGTCGTTGGTCGCATGAAATTGGTGCGTTACGTAAGTACGTACGTAACGTAGCATGCACGCGCAAATTTCACACTTCCGGTGCGTGACGCAGTGGTAACCGCCGCAGCATGGCAGCGTGATTTTATTCGATAATTTCCTAGCATTTTTCGTTCTGGCGGTTCTGCTGATTTTCAGTTGAAACTTTTCTCGAGAAGCGATTTCTTCTGCAAAACTGATCATGCGGTGATGCAACGCGTTGTATGAAGCCTTGACAATGGATAGCGCTGTTCCAGAGCCAACCAGCGCAGCAGCGGGACAGAATGAGCATGCGGAGGGGAAGAGACGCAAGAAAAAGCTGAAGCAGTCGAAAAAGAAACGCAAGCGCAGCCGATCCACGTAAGTTCCGTGTTTCCATCGCTAGTTTCACTCCTTTCTTGCCAAAACCGACCATGCAATAATTCCTCCCAGCTAATCGGTAAACTACCGATTTATCGTATGCAGTTCCTCAGATTCGTCCTCTTCGGATTCGCGTCGGAAGCACAAGAAGCGCCACAAGGCCAAGAAGAAGCGCAAGGCGAGCGCACCGAGCGAAGCGAGTGAAGTCCCGCCATTTTCAGGCACGCCGTGCAAAACAGACGCTGCGTCCCTGGCGCCCGTGGAAGATGCATCTGTTTCCGTGCGCCCACGCGGCCCGATGACCAAGGAACAGTGGGATGCGCAGCAGAGCGTCATCCGACGGGTCTACGATCCGGACACGGGTCGACAGAGGTAAGCGAGGATATTTCTGCAGCGTGCTTTTGGTATATCCGCGTGCTGCCAGATTGCGACGATTTTTACGGCGAATTTTTTTAGGTTGGTGCGCGGTACAGGCGAAATCGTCGAGGAGATTGTCAGTCGTCAGCGCCACCTGGCCATTAATAAGGCAAGTATTTTTTTTATTTTTAAATTCGTTTTTAATTTTAGTACTTAATTTTTTCGCCACTGCTGAAATCGTTCCTTGTGTTTTTTATACGAATTTCTGGAAATTTGTTGAGTTCATTGCTTCTTAATTATTTTTTATTATTATTAAACAGTAGATATTTTAATCAAAATGTTTCTAAGCATAAATTGGCAATTAATCGCTATTAACGGGAATTTTTAAATGTTAACTAATTTAATTTATCTCTGCGTAAATTGACCAGGAGACCAGAAAATATAATGTTTTATTTTTTGCAGAGCGCTACAAGAGCCGACGGAGCTGTTTTCCAAGCGAATTTAGGACTGCACCGATGATTTATTATGCTGATTCGTTTTGATCTGTCCAGTGACTCATGTACAGTTTCTCATTTATCCGCTGCGCGCTACTTTTCCATGAATATTCGGTAATTTTGCGAAATGATCCGCTGGTTTTTTACTTACTTATTTATTGGGCACTTTGCATGCGATAAACGGACAGCAGAAGCAAAAGGCCAATAAATAATCAACAAAACTGATGAATAAATATTAAGAAATTCGATAAATATTCAGTCAGCTGAATAATAAAACAAATTCATTAAATAACCAAACAACGTCGGTCTGGGGATAATTTCGTCCATCAATTTTACTGCGAAATAACACCGCCGCAAGTGACAAATCGCCTACATTTCAGCAACAAGAAAAAGGCTGATTAAAATTAAAAATAGAGAAACTCCTGCTAAAAACGTCTTAAATTCCGCAACCTCGCAAATCTCCATCCACACACATAAATTAAACAATTTTCTCGAACCAACTCCCAAATAAAACAGGAAAAATCGGGAAACCGTCTCCAATCCAACGGAAAAATTAATGGCAGTCCCCCATCATGATCCGCCGGTTTTGGAGGCGTCCGGCTGGTTTTTGCGGTCGGACGGCGAGGTGGAGCGCGAGCGGGAGGTGCTGCGCGAGCGGACGTTGAGGAAATTGGCGCAGCGCTCGATGGCGCGGTCGACGCGCGCCATCTCAACGTGGACGCGCTGCACGAGACTTTTGCGCAGGGCGCGCGCCTCCGTCCGCTCCGCCGGGATCTCCACGGCGTCGATCTTCATGACGGTCTTCATGAGGGCCTCGTTGAGGTGCAGGAGCCGCGTGTGGGCCGTCTTGAAGGCCGGTTTCTCGGTGCGCGGAATACTGTCCAGGAACATCTCCATCTCCAGCAGCTCCATGCTCACCGCCGAGATCTCGTCTTCCAGCGCCGACAGACGCTTCTTGAACTCCTACAATTAACGGAAATTTATTCTACATTTAATGGCCATTTAATCCATTCTGAATTTAATAGCCATTTAATTTATTCTAAATTTAATAGTATTAATTCTGAATTTATTCTACTGAATTTCTTCAACGCTAGTTCGCAACATAAATTAACAAATAATCGATTTGTAAAAAATCTTTTAATCTGAATTTATCGTTATTTTTCTTTTAAATATGTATGCTATTTAAATTGGTTTGGTTTTTATTAAGTTTTGTTTAAATTTTATGCCCAGATTAATCGTCAGTACAATACACCTTTTAAATTGGAAATATGAATTTTAATATTGGCCTTTAATTCTTCATTTAAATTTATTTTTTCAACACTAATTCTTTAAAATTTGCAACATAACCTGGCAAAATAATTGTTTTACAAACTCTTACACTCTATTTATCATTCTCATAATTTAAAATATTTAATTAGTTTAAACTGGCTTATTATGCAATGTTTTTATTTTAGTTTTATGACCACTTTTGATTAGAAAGAAGAGCAAGACTGAAAACGAACAAAAACCCATTTATAAAATGACAGATTTTAAAAGTTTACAGGCCATATGTCTTGAGAATATTATTTTTATTTTTAAAATATTTTTGGAAAAATACCTTACCTCGTCGGGATCGCGGGGGACCTCGGCCTGGCCGAGCATCATGAGTTTGGCGCCGTGGCGCAGTTGCAGATCCGCCAGACGCTGCGCAGCCTGCAGATGGGCGCCCTTGTAAATGAGACTCTGGCGCGCCACGGGCACCTGTGTCAAGGACTGTAGATGCAGCTGAAGGTCGTGTACGGTCAGTGCCATGGCATCGTGCTCGGGGAATGCCTTGGAAACATCCACGGGGTACAGCACCGTCTTCCCGCCCGGGTTGACGCCGTACGCCACGTTGAAGGGGGAAATGAGGGGGGCGGTGGTGGTGGCGGGGGACGGCTTGGATTTACTGCTGCCCATCTCGTGTGCTTCACTGCTGCTCGGCCGCTTCATCCCCACCGCATCCTTCAACAGATCCGCCACGCGATCGCCCGTCTGGTTGATGAAATCCCCCACGCTGCTGGCGGTCTCTGTTACGAATTTCTCAAAGGATTCCCCAGCGGATGATGACATAGTCCACAGAAAATTACCACGTTACAAGTTATCCACTCATTCAGCGAAAAACATGAAGCGCATTCGCAATTAACAATCCGAAAAGTACAGCAGAAAGACTGCAAAACCTGCTGAAAGAAAAACTCAGTAGAAATTTGTCGAAATTTCATGTCTGATCCTGCATGACTCACCAGCAGCCCAACTGGCGTTATCGGCGGTTGGTATTGCGACAGACCTGGATTTTGTACAACAGCCTTCTCCTCGTTCTGATTAACTTTTTTTGCCATGGGCCCATGATGTTCATTTTCCATTGAATTCCACTGGTGCCTTTTAATTTCCACTGCGGTCCTTTAATTCTCGTTTGTTTTCTGCGCTGATGTCGTAATTTGCCATTATTTGCGCCCACTGCGACGTGCTGCTGCGATCGTCTTTCACAGAATAGAGAATTTACTCGATTATCCGCACCGTGCTGCGCACTAGTTTGCAGGGTTCCCTGGGAGTGGGAGCGACTCGACGCGACGCAATTCCCCCATCCCGCCATATCCTTCCACAATGACTTCGTTTCCCCGGGCTCCGATGAAGCGTACCTTCGATAAGCCAGGTACGCTAACGAATTGCACGTTGTGTTGATTTTGTACGAGGGAGATTCTCTAGCGCACCAGGAACTAGCGTGGATTATTATTGTTATTCCTAAATATTCCTCGCAACTGAACGGTTTCTTTACAGGCAACGACGTCCCCGGTCCAGGCGCGTACGACCCGGATAACGGCTCTAAACGCGCTGCCTGCCGAAAACTGCCCCGCCGCGTCTCACTCTCCACCTCGCATGAAACTCTGGCGCGCTTGCCACCACTCAGTACGTTGACAATTGCAGTGTAAACAGTTTTGGGTCTTTTTCGTTTTTGAATTGATTTGAAATGTAGAGACGAAATCGCCAGTTTAAGAATATTTTCAATTTATTTTCCGAATTCTGCTTTCGAAAATAGGGATTAAATTTATTTTTGTTCATTTTATTGTCTGAATTCTGCTTTTGAAAAATAAGGATTAAATGAAGAAATTAATGGAAATACATAAAATGACAAGCATTTTAAATAATCCTCGAAGCTTGAAAATGCTGGAATTAATTATATACACCGTACACGTTATTCATGCATAAAGTAACCGTTAAATATTACGGAATTTGTTTTATTTATTTTGTATTGGAGATTCTGTATGCTGATTCTCTGCAGACAAGAACACGGCCGGAGCGAATGGTGGAGAGTCCGGGGCGCCGACCGTGGGGCGTGGCGACGGTGTGGGCCGGGACATTGCGGAGGCGGATGGAAAGGCCGGCGGGCAGTACGACGCGGTGCGCGCCCTGGTCGAGCAGCCGGATGGCGATGTGGCGGCGCTGAAGGGGGCGCTGCGCGCCCGTGACCAGGTGATTGCCGAGCTGCGCCGCCAGTTGACCGAGGAGAAGGCGAAGCGGGATGAATGTGCCGGGCGGGAGCAGCGCCTGCAGGCCGACATGGAATCCATGCTGAGCCATCGGGAGGATCGGGATCGCGCGGTTGCAGTGCTGATCCGCGAGGGCGAGGATCTGCGCGACATGATCGTGCAGCTGCGCGACGCTCTGGTGGCCAAGGTGTTTGGGCAGGGCCACGACGGAGCCGGATATCCGGAGGCGTGAGCGCGTTTCCCCAGGGGCGGCGGCCGGTTTTGTGGCCGGTTTGGTGTTTTTATTTATTTTTTTTTAGTTTAAAGAGTTTTATCAGTTTTACCGGTGAAAAGGTTGTCCCGGGTTTTTTGTGCCAAAGATTTTTTGTGTGATGTTTTGATGAGGCAGTATTACGGATGGAATGCAAGAATTTAAAAGTATTTCCCGTTGTTGGATGTGCTCGTTCAGCATCTCTTTCATGCAGTCTGTAAATTATGGAAACAATTAGGAAATTTGCAAATTCATTTTGAATCCATAAATTAAAGAATAAATTGAATCAGTCTTCTATTATTCTAAATTCAGCTATAAACTTGGAAATTTACAATCAAATTTTGAATCTCGAAAGCAGTGGAAAAGTTAATAATTTCTGAATTATTCCCTAAAACTTTATTAAGAAATTTAAAGGTAGATTAATGAATTGGATTTGAAAACTTTAATCTGCAATTAAAAACTTAATTTAGAATGCAAAAAAAATGGAAAATAGCTAGTTAATTTACAAAAAATTTATTAAAAATTATTAAAATTATTAATTTATAAATTATTTTTAAAAAAAACATGCAAAGGTACAGAATAGAATAACAATTCTGAATTGAAAAGCGTCAATCCGCAAATTAAGAATTAATTCGGAATAGAAAAGAAACTGGGAAAATATAATTTATTTAAAGATAAAGGCAGAATTTGTACTGGACAAATTTTGTCTGAAAATTCAAAAATTATTTGCCAATACGGCAGTCCGTTTGGAAACTTGAAAATTAAATTTAAAAATTGCAAACTTTATTTGGAAAAGAAAAAAAAATTTGGAAATTGAAAAATGATTTCGGCAACTTAAAAATTATTCGGGAAATTAATAAAACTATGCCTCTTTTGATGTCGCCGCGTCACCGGAATAACCCCGAATCTAACGATATTGAATCACCTTATACAGAGGGTGAGCCACCCACATTGGCACACTTTTGGTAGGAAATTATTTCTGAGTTCTAGACTCAAGTTCTTTTAAATTCGCTGATGCAGTTTTTTCCCTTAGCGTTCTGTGAGCGGAAAACAACTAATTTTCCATGAAGATATTGCGCGCACGTGACATAAAGTGACCACAAGTGTCCGCGACCGGCGAAAAAAACGCAGACAAAACGTTTCACTTTGTATTTTTGTTTTTCAATGATTATTAAATGAAGCAAGAAGTTTTTTGGTCACATTCAGTTTCTAATTTTAGAAGATTTTAAGGGCTATATGAAAAAGTATAAAGTTGTGTGAAATCCTTTTTCAGGATCCCGAGGGAAAAAAACAGAAGTATTAAAAAATTGGGGATTTACACTTTCAATTAAGCGGCTGCCTTTTGCAGTGGGAAACTCGTGGCAAAAAAACCGCCGATGCCGATTTCGCTTTGATATAAACAAATATTTATTTAGACAGGCTTGTAGAAGATATTCTATGAAATTCAGGACGAATGGACAATAAGTTAGAGAATGGCAGATGTTTTCTGGACTTCCGGTCAGTTTTGGGAGCCGACGTCCAGAAAAACTCAACCATGGCTTTGATCAAAACCGAATTACACTTGTCTTAACGAGCATTGATTCTTTAACATCTTAATGCATTTCGTATGTAATGATCGGTAAAGGGGGATTTTCAGGAATTTGTTTTGCGAAAGGCATTCCAGTTTTGAAACGCACTGTTTTTCTACCCCGCTCCAGGTTTTTCTTCCTGGATTTTGAAAGACATCTTTTACTAAGCTCAGATATATTTATCAAGTACAAAATACCCCAGGCTATCGGGTAATGTTTTTGAAAAAATTGTTGAAGACGAAAGGAAGTTTTAAAAAATCAGTTTGTGCAGTGTGCCAATGTGGGTGGCTCACCCTCTGTAAACACCCATTCACCTCATGCATTCTAAGATTTATGTTGACATAATATATCAAGCAAATTTAGAACCTCAGTGTGACGTAGGTAAATTAATGTTTAAATTTCGCAATTACTTTTTAATTTTTCAAATCGATTTTTTGCATCTTCAACTTACCGAGTGTATGCCGTACTAACCTGCACTTCCGGTACGACAAACAAGTTGCTACTTGAAACGAGGTAGTTCCGGCAGGTGACGAGCGCGTACTGGCACTTCCAGTCTGCGTGTCCGTGGGCGGGCCGGCGGTTGCGCCGAATACATACGGCGGTGGTAATGGCGACCGGCATATATGGTGGGATTGCATGCCGTTCTGCTGGTCAGTTGTTGGTGCCGGTGAGAAATGTACAGTACAATATAACGTACGTAATTTACAGTTCTATAACGCATATAGATAGAAGAGCGACATTCCTACTTCCGGTATATACTGACAACTGCAAAATAGAAGTATCCAGATCTAACGAACGGGTTCTACAGGTGGTATCAAGAAAAGAGCAAAATGTCTGCGATCATAAGAACGATTATTTTATAGTACTCGTATTTTTGGAACAATTCTACTTCGTTTTGTCTGTATGAACATGTGAAATACAAGTACGATACCATAAAATTATTATAGATACATCATAATTATAACCACAATTCGGCTACGAATGTACGTGCAGCCGGTCATTCATAGCATGCGAGTACGAGAACAATACAATATATATATATATATATATATATATATATATATATATATATATATATATATATATATATATATATATATATATATATATATATATATATAGATATATATATAGATCTCGTACAATAACTCGCACGAAATCAAACATCTGTACAATATGTAGTACGAAGCGAATTGATATTCTGTCATCCAACAGACCATGTGCAAAAATTCAGAGTCCTGGTAAACTACAACTGTTTCGCGCCCGGTGTTAATTTTTTGGATGCGTTTTTCGCACATATGCATAAATAAGTCAGTACGCGACACAGTCACCGGTATCCCGTGACCTTTCGACTCCTTCCGCCGCTGTCAACATCCCCCATCCGCAGTTCCTCAATGTCCATCATGCAGTTAACCATTCCCAGCATAATGCATAATAAGCATCCGCGAGACTCCACCGATCCGTCTTCATTCCCACTTCGGTGGTGGGATCTGGCAAGTATTTCCCGCACATTTCCGGCGACATGTAACGCAAGCTGTGGGGACAATCGGCTACCGCGCCCTTATCATGATTCTATGGTACCATCTGGTAAATCGTACTCAATCATCAGCATTACTGCACACCACACACCTCATGACCTTTTGAAACTTAGCAACATCCTACACTGCTCACTGGAGATACAGCGGGGCAATGCGGCATCCGTGATCCAGTACCTTGACAGCCCAAGTGGTCGCGGAACATTTCGTCGTGGGACATTTCGCCACAGGTTTTTCGTCGCAGCGGCTAATTTGTTTTTTAGGACCACTCGTTTTGCAGCCGTTTTGTTGTGTGATATTTGGTTGCGCGACTTTTGGGGAGTCGAAAATTTATCGACTGATTTACGGGAACGAACAGTCATATGACTATTTGCCAAAAAACTGGTTGTCCTTTGACGAAGTGTCCGTAAAACCAAATGTCCCGCGACGACCTGTCGCGTAGCCGATCAGTACCGTGACAGCCCACGTGGTCGCGGAACATTTCGTCGTGGGACATTTCGCCACAGGTTTTTCGTCGCAGCGGCTAATTTGTTTTTTAGGACCACTCGTTTTGCAGCCGTTTTGTTGTGTGATATTTGGTTGCGCGACTTTTGGGGAGTCGAAAATTTATCGACTGATTTACGGGAACGAACAGTCATATGACTATTTGCCAAAAAACTGGTTGTCCTTTGACGAAGTGTCCGTAAAACCAAATGTCCCGCGACGACCTGTCGCGTAGCCGATCAGTACCGTGACAGCCCACGTGGTCGCGGAACATTTCGTCGTGGGACATTTCGCCACAGGTTTTTCGTCGCAGCGGCTAATTTGTTTTTTAGGACCACTCGATCGTTTTGCAGACGTTTTGTTGTGTGATAGTCGCGTAGCCAACGGTTTTTCTATACTGATACATGTGTAATTCGGTTTTAAAATGAACGATCGACGGAAGTGGCATAAACTGTTTGCATTTATTGTATAAAAGGATGATTTAACGTGTTAAAGATGAGTGAAAACGCCTGCACGTTTTGTGTGTCCTCGGTGGCGGGTTAACTAACATTAAAGATCTTACACCACCTTCCAGTGTGACAGAAACAAAACCTTAGAAAAGCAGGGAAACACCACCGGGCCGCAAACCCGACACTCATCACACAGCCAGCACGGCTCAGAACATGTTAAAAAGCGGTAATTCTAACAAAATGAAACCAGGTTATGGCGCCGCTAACTCCGCCCACTTTCCACGATCACTCGGATGATTTCTGCACGAAAGACCAGAGGAAAAGGAGAGAGAGCAGCGCGTTACGGGACAGTTTCTCCAGGCCGAGATTGTGCAGTCCCTCCGAGCACCACTGCTTCCCGCGGTAATGCGATGACGGTCGCGGATCGCTGGTCTGCGCCACGCTGCCCACGCACAACATCTATACGCAACACAGGATACTCAGCCGACGGATGATGCTACAGTACGGCATTTTAACGTAATTTAACTTGGAAATAAACGACCTGATTCAGTGATTCTGGCAACTGCAAGTGTATTACTAGTACGTGTAAGTAGTACACACTTTGCATAACACTCACAGCTCATAATGCAATGAGTGTATTGTGCACGGTCCCTTCCCATGTAACTGGGACAAATTCTTCATTTGATCATGTTTGTTGAGCTAAGCTCGCCTTGTAAATATTGAGAAATTAAATATCACATTATTCAAACAGTTCTGCTCGTCTTCGAAAAGATTTGAAATACAATTACAATCTGGAATTAAAAACATATACTTACATATATCTGATACATATCTGATATATTTCATATAATTATATTAAAATATAAAATATCAATAAATAACATATAAAAATATTTGATATAATAACTTATATGATACATTTGAAAAATGGCTCCTACTTTCCAGACCATCTGGCGGTGATGCTGACGCTCCGCGCTATCGTCGGCCGCGATGTCTTGCAGCCACTCGGCCAGCGCCTGTAGCTCGTCCGCCTCGTCGGCAGTGGGCGTCGGCAGCGGCGCTTCCATGGCATCCCACACCGTGGCCGGCCACTCCCCGCTCAACGGCAAACGCACCGGGGCCAGTTCGGCCGCGCCCCACGCCTCGTTCAGCCGCGACCACAGGCCGCACTGACGCGACACCCGACAGCCGACCAAATGGATGGCAGCACACGGTAGACCGCGCGTGG